GAAACGTTTCGGTAAATAAGATGAAAATAAAGAAAAATTTTAAAAATTTGTTTCCGAGACATAGGTCGAAGCATCGCAAAACACACCGAAACATAAGAATTGTGATATTCAATCAATGATTTGTTTCAATTTCCATAGAAATGAAAATGTTGCGAATATTTTGACTGTTTCAAAACAAAATTTTATTTCTTGCGCCATACATTTATCTTTCGAGTCACCCACCTAGAAGATCTGTTAAGGCTATTAGATGCATCAGGTTGCAATATCCTTTGCCAAAATCCTACTACAAGTGACAAGGCCAAGGACTGCAATACTTGGGAAGCTGCCTAGGACTACTGTTTACAGGAACATACAGCAATATCCAGATGCAACCAAGGTTCCTGGTATTCTTATTGTGAGAGTTGATTCTGCAATCTACTTTTCTAACTCCAACTACATCAAGGACAGGTTTAACACTCTCTCTCTCTCTCTCTGCCTCTCTCCAATTGATTGCAGTTATTTGCAAAAAACTAAAATTAGATGTGTGTGTCTAAACACTTACTACAAAAATGAGTCCAATGCATGAATTCTGCTTGGGAAAGGTCATATGTACAGAGTGTTATTTCCACATGTCGGGAGGAAAATATGAGCCTTGAAACTTGTACTTTTTTCGGGGTACTAATAGAAGATCAAAACACTGCAAGAACATCCTGCTACAAATCACCGATTACTCTTTTGTTAATGTTTTCGCTGCGAAGATATTTCTTTCTTTCATCTTTAGTACTAGATAAATACCAGAATACAAATACTTGCAGGGTTTTGAGATGGCTAGCTGATGAGGTAGAACAGCTAAAAGAAAATAAAGAACCCGAAATTCAGTATTTGATCGTTGAAATGTCACGTAAGTAATTCCTGAAATGCATTTTTGTTCCAATTTTCGTTCATCATGTACAGATTCTAATTTGGACTTAGTATTATGGGTTTCAATCTTGCAGCTGTTACCGACATAGACACTAGTGGCATTCATGCCTTGGAAGAGTTGTACAGGAGTCTCCAAAAGAGAAATGTTCAAGTAAGCCACTCCAAAGCCTACTCTACATAATGAGCTTATAGACCTGACCAGACCATCTTGCAATTTGAACGAGTCTGAACAAAGTAAAAGTCGAGTAACGCCCTAACTAACTGCTCAGATCGTTTAACAGTCTTCATGATGATGTTTTTTCAATTTGAATTAGTCTGAACAAAGTAAAAGTCGAGTAACGCCTTAACTAACTGTTTAGATCGTTTAACAGTCCTTATGATGGTGCAATATATTTCCCATATTTGACCTCATTTGAGAGTAAATCTTACCTTGATTCTTTTTACCTGTGTATAAACAGCTTGTTCTAGCAAATCCTGGGCAAGTTGTGATCGACAAGCTCTACGCATCCGATTTCCCAAGCATGATTGGGGAAGACAACATCTTCCTGACCGTAGCAGACGCTGTTCTAATGTGTGCTCCAAAGTTGCTAGAACCTTGTGCTACTGTATAAATCTGTGTCAAATTCATGTCAAATAACAGCAATATGAAGGTATTATGGAATGTTGTAAGTTAAGTTTTGGGGTTCTGGTAATAAAAAAGGAAGCAAAGGTATCGTAAAATTGTGTGTTCATGGCAATTCTTTGATGTACTTGGATGGAGAGAAATTCAAAAATTTTCAATAACTGCACTATCTTCCTTCCGAAATAGTTTGGGAAAGAATTGTTTTCATGACTTCACTTTGGTCTGCAAGAAGCTTTAAAAGTTTGCCTTTTGTCGAATTTTCAACTGAATTGGAAGACGACTCTATTTTAGTTTTTTCCTTACGACTTTTCTTTGATATGTATATATTTTGTTTTTCAATGGAGGAAATAGAGTTTGAATTGGAACCAGAAAGTGTAGATGGGTTTTTTATGGTGAAGATAGTGGGAGCTCTAGATCATGGTGGGTGGAAGAGATGGTTGTACCACCAAGTTAGATCAGTTGATGAGGAACTGTTCTAGCTTAACCAAGGTCTCGAGTTTGAGTCTTGGGAACGCAGCTGCGTTCGGTAGAGAGAGGTTTGCCGTCCTTGTGGTCCTATCCGGCTCAAATCAGGATTAGTCGAAGCCTAAAATGATTTTTGGATACCGGATGATCTCACCAAAAAAATAGGGAAGAGATGTTTGTAAAGTTTTCCTGTCTAGAAGGCCTTTGACAATGAATTGTGATTTGGGACACATTTTACTTCCTTTAGTACTTATTGTTTCTTGCACTTTGAAAAATAAATTGATTTGTCCCGTGTCTTTC